AAACAAACAAACAAACAAACAAACAAACAAAATATTTCAGCCCTGGGGCAACCACACATTGATGTTTCTTTCCTCCTTTTCCTCCCTTCCCCTTTCTTTATAAATGAAAGAAAGAAAGAGAGAGAGAGAGAGAGAGAGAGAGAGAGAGGGAGGGAGGGAGGGAGGGAGGGAGGGAGGGAGGGAGGGAGGGAGAGAGAGAGAGAGAGAGAGAGAGAGAGAGAGAAAGAAAGAAAGAAAGAAAGAAAGAAAGAAAGAAAGAAAGAAAGAAAGAAAGAAAGAAAGAAAGAAAGAAGAAAAGAAAGAAAAGAAAGAAAAGAAGAAATATTTCAGCCCTGGCCAGATGGCTCAGTTTATTGGAGTATTGTCCAGTACACCAAAAGACTGTGGGTTCCATCCTGGTCATGGCACATATCTAGGTTGGATGTCCAATTCCCAGTCTCTCTCTCTCTTTCTCTGTTTTTTCCCTTTCATCCCTCTCTGTAAAATAAATGAAAATAATCTTGGGTGAGAATTTAAAAAATAAAATAATTCAAAGTCAACATCGCCTACACCTATCTTCTGCCACTCTCTCAAAAAAGCCCTTCACCTTGGGTTGTACCTTATTGAATATATCCATTACTTAAAGTTATTTTTCTTGAGATGTTAATGGGAAATTGCAAATGTAGTTATAACAATTTTTAGGTCACCAAGATTTATGTTTTATTTAAGTGCTGAACTCTTGCTATTACAGGAAAGGATGGTTAGCTGTTCTCAATTTACAATGTGACATTTACATTAAGCAATAAATGACCTAGTGGTACATTAATTTATCTATCATATGATCCTGGAATTGTATAATAATTTATAAATATTTTCCTTTAGCTGAGTATATAATTCTATACCTGTATTCAATAACACAGGTGCATTTCCATATTCAATCACATGAATCCTTCTGAATATTTATGCATTTGAAACTCATTAAAGAAATAATTTTCAACTTCATTCTATATTTCTTCTCTAAATTTTTAAAATTCTTCTTCATAAAATAATATCTCTTATATTATACCTTCAATTTTTAAGTGGTCCACTAAAGATGATGGCTGTATTATACCAAACATTATTCTGATTATTAAATACGTGAGTGAATTGCAGTGAAACAAAATGATTCATTTACTCATATAGCTCAAAACAGTTGACTTTTTCTATCATGTGAAGCAAACATCTGGATGATTAAATGTTTAATTTTAATCATTTTCATGTAAGGTAAGTATAAAGACTAGTGCAGAACACCTGCCTCCTGTGATTTATTGTGTACCATTAGACATGAGATGGAGGCAGTACAATAATGATACTACTTGACAGATTCATAATTGTTCAGACTCTGTGGATCTTTAAATTAAGGAGATACTTAAAATTATGTGACTATTATCTTCAAATATTTCAACGGTTTCTTTAGTGTTCAGTGGGTTAAAACTCAGGGCAACCTTAGGAAAACCATCTTGAGGGAAACATAAAGACTACACACCTACAATGAATAAAGCACCATGATTGGTACTTTCAGATATTATGCCTTGAAATAATGGCAGCTTTTTGTAATATTGTCTCTTTTTTATTTAAAAAAATTGAATGTTATGGTCATTGCTGTGATTCTATCAAGGTTTATAAGACTTTAAAGTCCTGCCTTTGCTGATAGTGAAATTGGAATCAAAGTACAGATGATCCCTGACTTAGGACATTAGACTTACAATTTTTTAACATTATGATGGTGTGAAAGTGCTACCATTCAGTAGAACATATACTTCAAATTTTGAATTTTTACCTTTTCCCGGGCCAGTGGTGTGTGTGGTATGATACTCTCTCATGATGCTGAGCACAGGCAGTGAGCCACAGCTCTCAGTCAGCCTGGCAGTCACGAGGGTGAATGAGCAATACTCTCCAGTGTTTTCCTTGTTTAGGTGATTGTGCCCAACTCTTGGCTAAAGAAAGTGTTTTGAGCATATTTAAGGAAGGCTAGGTTAAACTATGATGTTCCAGAGGTTGGGTGTGTTAAATGCATTTTCAACTGAAATGTGATTTTGGGGACATAACCCCACTGCAAGTGGAGGAGCATCTGTATATGTTCAGACAACTGATGAACACTTAGCAAGGACATAGATGGGAAGCAAGTACTATTAGGAGCTACACAGGGCCATGATTCTAAATTTTATAAAGGATCTTCTGTAAAAACTTCCAGGGTTTTGCCCATGTTTCCTGAGTTGTCTCAGACTTCAGTATTGGCATTCAAGATAATCATTAGAGAGAGAACCATATTTCTTTTTTTAATTTTTTTATTGTTTTTCAAGTACAGTTGTCTCCATTTTCCCCCAGAAAGAACCATATTTCTTGTGCATAAACAATTGTACATGTACATGAACAATAACCATTGTCAAATTTTCTAAGACTGTGGATGAAGGCCAACATATCAACAACTTGGTACTAAGGAACTGATCATAATTTCTTATGAGATGTTTTATTTCTACATACTATCAAGAAGAAAAAATCTTTATAAGATTATACTGAAAAATTGTGCTGTTACAATCCCAACTTAAAATGATTTTGGCATTGCACTAATCAAAATATGTAGACAAAAAAGCATCATATTTATGTTTCTTTACTGTAGAATCTTCTAATGGTTTTCTGAAAACTTATATCATGAGGTATAAGAGCATTGATTTGCAGTGGGATAGCCCTAGGTGATAGGCCCAGCTTTGCCAACTACTATCTATAGTACCCTGCCAACTGTACTTGAACAACAATTAAAATAAAAAAAAAGAAATATTTCCATCCCTGCCTCTTGTATCAGCATAAAAGCAAATGTGAGTTACCTCACTTTGCTCTTGGGAGAATTGATTTGGATAATACATGTTTTTGGTAGCTGGCACATAGTAAGTGCTTAATAAAAGACATTGTAATAAAAAGGAAAATGTTACTATCATTAATAATAAAGTAACGTAAGATAAAAAATAATTTTCTTTGGGAACTTAGAATTTAGATAGTATTATAACAGTTACTGGACTCTTTAAGCTAAAGTGAATACATGTAAATACTTTCGGTTATTAATCCTTTTTTGCTGTTTTGATCTATAGGAGGCATTTATATTTTGACATCATAATGAAATGATGCAAAATATAATTGTAAATTCAAGTTTGCTCTTGCTTAATACTACCTCTTTACTACAGAGGTAGGAACATAATAAGAGTTTCATAAACAATGAGGCTTCTTATTTTAAACATTTTGCTTCTAAGAATTTATTATAAATGTGTTTACTGATGTACATAGATACATTATATTGACATCAGTTATACTATTTTAGAATAACAAGTCTTGACACTTTATAATTTTCCATTGGAACACACAAGTAGATTATGTTGCATGCATGTGAGAGATATTTACTGATAGAATGGATGGGGTTGAAGATAGAACACAGAATTGGAATTAACTCTGTGATGTGTTAAATGGAAGGCATAGGGCAAACAGGGTAATTGTATATGTATAAATCTCTCTCTCTCTCTCTCTCTCTCTCTCTCTCTCTCTCTCTCTCTCTCTCTCTCTCTCTCTATATATATATATATATATATATATATATACACTCATGTATGCATGAAATATTTCTGAGAGAATTTTCTGATATGTGAAATTGGCTTTTTCTGAAAAGAATGTGTCTTGCTTTGGAGAGAGATTTACCTTCAGATTTCTTGTACTTTGATCATGCATTTAAAAATGAAAAAATTAGTTTCAAATATTCACAGAAAGAAATTAAGGAAAATGCAAACCATAGCTATCTCAGGGTGGTTAGTGCATGTAGGACTGATTTATATGTGTGTGTGTAATGTGAGTTATTCTATAATTTGGTAATAAATATCTTTTACAATATAAATATAAAAAGAGACATTGGTTGACATATTTTATAAGATAACTTGGAATAAACTATAACTTTCTCTTTTTTAATGTCATCATTAATCTATGCATTGAATTTTAGCATCTCTGGGTAATTTCAGTATAAACTTAGGCAATAACTTAAATTTGTTTTAAAATTAAGACCTAATTATTAGGTATCTCAGGATATTACAATCACCCTCTTACATTTTGACTCTGTAAGACCATTCACTCATCTTTATAAACCAAAACAGTAGGAATAATAAACTTAACCTGAGTTATCTTTGTATCATCATATGTATTTTTATTATTACACTTTTGCTTCTGTAGATAAAATGTCATAGTCTAAATAAAATTATAATGCTTTTATTCATTTCAAGAACATTTTTATAAATTCAGCCTATTTCTGCATTAAGAATGATAGTGGTTGAATAGAAATTGGTACTATTATAAAGGTCTTAGGGGAAAATCATTATATATTCTGTCTCAAATAGCTAGGTCTAGTGTTCTTTAGATTGACATGGAACCTTCAGAAGCACATGGAAATAAGTAATTTTCTGACATAAAGTTAAATACAAATGGCACACCTGTGTATTTCCTTCACAGACATATGTGTTGAAATAGATTTTCTCTGTTGAAGAACATATAGGCAACACAACATAAGACTGTTAGCCCCAGGAGGGCAGGATTTGAGAGCTTCATTTTACTGCTCTATCCCCAGCATCATGTACCTGATGCATACACAGTAAGTGATGATTATTCATTTGTTGACTAAGGCAATTTTTTAAACATTAGCTTGCAAGTTGAATTAATGCAAATCCTATAAATAACATTGAATTACATGTCTTTTGATTGTTTAAACTATCTTCAATTGTGAGATAAGAAGACTCCTCCCCAAAATGAAAAGCAGAATGCTGACATATCTATTGGAATCCTTGCACATTCCACGGGAAAAGCCTTACTATGCACATCTATTTAAATCCTCTTTAGTGGTATTTCTGATCTAGTTTGAGGATGATCACACAGTTAACAGCAACTATAGTTATCAAAGATACTTTGTGATCATATTTTGATATACTTTTTTTCTGTGCTTGTCTCCTTTGAAGAGTCCCTGTAACCATTCAGCCAGGTGTTGGGAAGACATGTAGTAGCTGAGCACCCTTACTTCTGACACCATCCTCAGATTGAGTTTTGGAGATGCTTTCACCCCGTCCATGTTCTGCAGCAGCCAGGCAGAGTGCTGACTCCTTCACAGCAGTGAGCACCTCTTCAGGCTCCAGAAGTAAGTCAATTGCCTTCAGTTTGATAATTGCCAATGGGTTTAAAAGCACTAAAGCATTGCAAATAATACACAAATTAAAATGAGTATTATTTACTGATTATTTTGTTTCTTTTTTGAGTCATATCTTTCTGGAGTACAAAATTTATAACTTTTTATGTTGGTGGTCTATATCTTTATGGAATTTTCTGATTTTTAGGATTGTTGCACAATGCATTGTCATAATTCATATTTGCAGCCTTGAGGAGTAGACAGGGGAGAGATTAAAAAATAATCTTTGAACATGAATAAACAGATACAGAATGGCCAAGTATTTTATCAAAGTAGCTCGACTAATGATTTGTGAAGATGAGGTAAAATCTCTGGTTTTTCGATTCTTAAAAATCAAGTACTCACTTTATGACTTTGATCTCTAGTGCTTTATGGAGGTAAAGGGGATGTAACTAGAATAATACTTTTCCTGATCAGTTGGATCATTGAATGACATGTTCTCCATGTCATTCAAGGAGAGTTGGTGGCTGCCTACATATATGAATACTGAAAAAAAAAACTGAAGAAAAGGGGAATTACATATAGGAAAATGAATTGAAATCAAGAGACAAATTCCCAGCTACACATTTATTTGGGGGGCTTTCTAATTACAGGATAAATCAGATAAATGCATCAACTACATGATTATTTATGTTCAGAGGATTTGAAAAGTCAAGCCAATTTCTGTGAAAAAGTTCTTCCTTTTCTGGTCCATACTTATGATTCTGTGTTTTGTCACTTTTCTAGTTTACTTAGTTTAAATTTGACATATTTCTTTTTATCCTTTCTTCTCCCAAATATTTAATGCTTGCTGCTCCTAGAGATATATTTGTATCAAAATGTCACTACACAGAAAATGATTATGGGTGCATTTTTGTCAAGAGCAAGGTTTCTTATAGCTGAGGTTGTCTTTTGGCAATTAGGTGCTTAGCAATAAAAATTTCCTAGAGGAGAAAGGGTAGAAAACACTTAATAACCTCAGTTTATTTTGCAGCATATTCAGCATGCCAGCAACAGAAATATCTATGTACTTTGGAGAACATAGAGACTGTTGTTAAAAATTTGGTTCTGAATCATTGTGCTATGGACTACATAAGATTTAAAACAGGCAGCCAGTGTGTCGTTGCCAGTGTGCTCAAAATAATGTAAAGGACTTATTTGAAGAGATAACAAAAAGAATGTTAGGTTATATTTAGGTTAATTTATTGTAACTGTAACTGTAGCATAAAATGAGTCTAAGGATGCAGAAGACAGATTAGAAGTCATTTTAGCGTAGGTTTCTTCTATGTATATTTTATTACCTTGTACTCCTTTGGTACATGATTTATTCATTTATCTTAAGAATTACTTTTGTTGCTTAGGTCCTTGAGCTTTTTATTAAATAAAGAAACCCGAAGAAGATATTCTAGATTTTCCATCTTTTACTTTTCTTAAAGAAACAGAGGACCTGGTCTAAGCCTGAGGTGATTTCTCACATGTTGAAGATACAGAAATGTATAGACTTTGTTTCTTAAAGGCAGCCATGCAAAAAACTCCAGAGATTTTACCTGCCCAAATAACTATGTAATAAATGAATTTTTGTTTTCCATAAATAAGGCTGACTTTTTCTAAATAAAACATCTGATTTTATGAAATCTGTTAGCAGAGGAAATATATTTACCGATACAGATTCCCTAGTGTAAATCACAAGTCTTAGTGAATTCAAATACATTTTCATTTACTAATGGTGATGAGGCCAAAAGAATTACTTAATTACTCTGGCAATAGAAGGCTAAACAGAAATAATTTATATATTGAAACTGTCTCTTCTGAGTTAATGCTTAATTCAATTTTTTAATTACCAGTCCATTAGTCCATAGAAGTAGAATCTCCTTTTCCCTTTCTATTTTTTCTTTGGAGTAACATTAGGCTGAAAGTCTTGCACAGAATTAATCACCCTGAAAAAAGAGAAAGTAAATACGTTCCTAATTAGGTTCCCCAAATTTCAAAAAGCTCATTGACAATTCATACCACATCCATTAAATCCCTTTAAAATAAATGGAATACTGAGGACTTTCTTAGAGGAAATAATGAATGGAGAAGTAGTACAATAATGAGGCAATGTTATATCCATTAGTTATTAGTGCAGAATGGTTGAGGAGGTGGTGATTGTTATGATGGTTATTTTTCTCACTGTAGCACTTCCAATTAGTCTTGGCCAGTAAAATAGTACTTTTGTCTCTTTCTGCTGTTGTTTCTTGTTTGTCTAAATCACTGATGAACTTAAACAATGAATAATAATGTCTGAATAGTAGATGTGTATGCCTGTGATATAGGCATACATATATCTAAAGATAATTTATTATGTACATAATAGTGATGATAATCACTGTACAACTAATATCTTCTATATGTTAAGGTATGCTTAATGACATTTAATTTAAAATATTAAAAATACTTATATTTTTCTGCAGCAAATTCCCTGATGCTTAAGGCTTGTAAATGATCAACTCTGATAATATCAGTTGACAGTGACTTAATCACTTATCATAATAATGACAAACATAACATTTGACATTTTCTAGTACCTTTTAATAAACATTATTTTTTTTATTCTTACACTACCTCAACCAGATAGATTTTTTATGGTTCATATCTTTAGGCATGTATTTATATACTTGAACTCATACCAGACACTTGAGCCAACAAAGCCACAGTTAAAAAAAAATCAAGATTATCATAATACGCTAACCAGGAATACTAAGGTGGCTATATGAATTTGGTTTAATAATCCTAATCCTGAAAAGGAGGACAAAAAGGACGCATTTATACTATACAGTGCTCACTTAAAAAAAAAAGAAAAAGTAACAAATTCTCAAAGAAAGCAAACCTGATGCCTCTCAGGAATGTGTGTGTTCCCAGTCGCATAAATTCGATACATCTAATTACTTACTGGCCTTAAATTTAATGCAGTGCAAACTAAGCAGGTGGTTCTCTCTCCAAATATACTCTTCTATTATTTTTGAGCTGACTTCACAATAAACCAGAAAAAGAAAAAAGAAAAACAGAAATCATCCTGTCACCTTTCTCCTTCTTTCCACAAATTCTATCACCTAATCTGGTTATATTGCAAAAAATCTGGAATTCATCCACTTCTGCCCATTTGGTACCATCAGCACTCTGGTCCTAAGGAACATAATCTCTCCCCTGAGCTACTTCCTAAATTATTACTTACATCAACAGAGGCACCTATTCTGTCTATTCTCCACAGGCAGGCAAGGAGAGTTTTACAAAATATAAAATTGAGATGTTACACCTCTCTAAAGACAAATATAGACAAAGTTTCTTATCGTGGTTTCTTAGCACTTCCCTAAATGCCCCCACCTCAGCCCACAAGATGCTCTCTTCCCTTTCTGAATTCCAGGCACAGGGGCCCTTTGGTTCTTCCCTGGTGTGTGATGTCCCACCTAGGGCTTTACATCAGGTTGTTTCTCCCTGCGGGGATCACCTCTCACCACTCTGAACTTCTTTTTGCCTTGTGTCTCAAAGGGATAGTCACCTCCTGAAGGAACCTTTTCTTGCTGTGCCTGACCAGATTATCCTCTCTTACGTAGTCTCATAGCTCCATATAACTGTAAGTTGTTACAGTTTTATGTCTCTGCATGCAGTTATCTGATAATGTTGACTTTCCTTGCAGATTGTAAGCACTATAATCATTTTGTTCATCATTGAAACCCCTCTTGTATACTGTTGGCTCTATGAACACAGACATAGAATTTCCCTCTCACTCTCTTTCTCAATCTGTGTGTGTGTGTTTTAAGAGACAGAAAATTTGAGATCTGAAAAAAATAGGAGAACAAGGGAGAGAAAATAATAACAAACAGAAAATGTTGGCACTATAAAAATCATTGTGTAAGTTTTGTTTGTCAGTCATTTTTTTTCCCTTTCTGTAAGGACTTACTGGGGTAGTTTTCCTTATAGCTGTCATGGCTTTGTTTTAAAGTTCTTGAACCTATGGTTCTACTAAAAAGAGCCAGACCTCTGTATCTCTAAAACTAATAGCAAGTAGTGGCATGAAATTATTTTACTTCCATATTGATAATGGGAAATGTTCAATAAGAATGTTCAAATGTTTAAATATGTCTGTCAAACCCAAGGCACTGATAGGTATTTCTCTACCATGTAAAATATGAGCATTCTTTTGGTTTTATCTTAGAAAAGGAAGGTTCCAAGGACATTAACTGGAACAAGATTTTTAATGACCAACTATGAGATGTTTTCATTTTTGTTTTTGCATTTTCCTGTTGTCAGAGTTTGACCCTGTTTGCTGCTGGCACATCACTCACAGTGGGTGTGTGTTTCCAGTGCCCTTACACTGCTACTCTTTCCTCTCCTTCATCTCAGCACCATTTTTCTAAAGGACATGTTTTCAGATAAGTGATGGATCAGGACCCTGTCCTTGCTGTTTTGAAGCAGATACAAATGAATCCAACTGGAATATTTGTCCAAAGAAATGATTATATATCAGTAAGGTAGGTAAGAGTATTACAGTTCAGAAAGAACTACCATAAGATAAATAATGATAAAAAGCTGCAAATTGTCAGTGGAAAAAGAGGTTACTTCCATCTGAAATTATGCAAATATACTTCCTGATAGAAATGTAATTTTCTGGACTGCAGAGACAGGTTTCAACATTGGGCTGTTGTTGTTAATGTGCTGATGTGTTGTCTCATTTGGGTAAAAATTCCAGAAGGTGGAGAGATAATGCATAGTTCTCCCAAAAGCCCTTAAGTACTGACACCAAAACTAAAAATTACTTAGCTGGCAGTACTTGTTGTAGAAAAGCCTCTGCTCTCTCTGCCTCCTGTTAGTGAGTTGCTAGTACCGCATTTCTTACTGTGAAGTGCCCTGGGAAGAAGTCTGAATAAATGCTTCCCTTTAGGAGATAATGATTACATTTAGGCCCAGGAGAGATTGATGTCGTGGGGAGAGCACTCCTGGCAACTGACATCAGACACATGGCAACAATCTTAATTGCAAAGCATTGGCTATGAAATGCATTCAGGAAAAAAATCCTTCTTGTACAGATTCAGCCTCAGTTATTATCCCAGTGATTTTGATGAGCAACCTGTTCCACTGACTGAGCAGTTAACCCTCCTTATACCACTGTCAGTGTCAGTAGGGGTATTTTAACATATGTCAGTTTTAGAATTCTCTGGGTAAACTTGATGAAGCATCTCTCATCAATATGAAACCAAATGGGGAGGTTTCACAGCAAGGAAAATGTTGGTAATCCAAAGGTTTCTCAAAGAAAATCCATGATTTGCCATGTGAAGAAACTATACATACTGAAAGAATCTATGTGTATTGATCCTAAACACTAGCTTAGTATTACCAATGACATAATTTGAAGGAGAAAGACACAGTAAAATTTATGGTTATCACTACATGGAAAGATGTGTGAAAAACTCAGGTGCTTTATAGGTATATTCTTACTAGCTGAAAACAATATAAGAAACCCTAGAGATTTGATTTTGAAAAGTGTTTAGATGATATACTTAACTTAGATAATATAGTTTTGGTACAGAAGTATTTAATGGCCAGAATGTTGAAGAATTTTAATGGTGTTGAAGATATTTTATCATTGAGAAGGGATAAATATACAGCACACCATTGGGGATATTGACAAGCAGGAGTTGAATTATGAGTTAGTCTCCAGTGACAACCTCTTTGTCATGCTTGATTGCATATGTAAAGCTGGATGATAACTGTGACCTTGCAGGATGGTAGCTTGATCTCATTTGTCTAATTAACCTTATCTTTGACATAAAACACATTTTCCTTGTGTTTGTATAATAAGCCATCAGGCAGATAAGATTTGTCAACTGAGGGGAAAGCTTTGTTTGTGAAAGCAACTTTGTTTTTTAAATGGTTTTTCTTGGTGTCAGGCAATTCTAAATCTATAATAAGACTTTGGCTTTCTTTTGATCACTTGCATGCAAATATGGATTACCATGCTAAATCCTAAAGCCTTAACATACTTTTTAATATCTGGAAAACAAATAACCTTTTAAAACCTGCTTACTTATTTATATCCTGAAGATAGAGTTCCATTACAGGCAAATGAGCACTTCTTAGACTATTTCAGTGCCTACTACAGTAATGATTCCAACAGAGACATAATCCACAATTGAAAGCATGCATTTATTATTTATAAAGAAACGGGAAGGTAGAGTAAGCTTTTTTATAACAAGAATTCCTTACTTAAGGGGAGAACTGAAAAGGAAACACTGACAAATAAAATTATATGTATTTTTAATATAATGCCTCCATTTTTATCCAGGTTATTTTATGAAGCATTTCTCAATGTTTCCTTTGCATCTTGAAATAAAGCTGTAGAATCTTAGAATTTTAGGTCAGTATAGTTAAAGAGTGACTCTATATAAATAACAGTTATAGAGAATAATAAGAGTGGAACTGTGGCACTCATGGATTTCAGTGATGCAGTCAGTATATGTGAGCACTCTAGCCTGGAAAATAGTATCAAAGAATGAGTCCCATAATACTGGATCCAGAAGATACTCAACCTCTGAATTCCTTTTTGTGTTTGTTTTCTATTCATCATAGCATACTCTTATTAAGGGTATAGAGAGATTCTTTAAAAATATTCATCATAGCAAACTCTTATTAAGTGTATAGAGAGATTCTTTAAAAATTTTTTATAATTCTTGACTATATTTTGGTGAGAGTACCACAGAAGTCAGTATCACTGTTTTCTAAATATTTTGAGACAAAATCCATTTATTTGACTCCATATGAAGTTGTACAAGGGTATCCACATAAAAGTATCTATAATATCCCATTATGAAAAGTAATTATAAATAAGGAAGATACTGAAAAAAAAATCAAGTAAGAACCTGGCAATCATCAAGTCTAAATAGAGCTCATCCTTATCCAGTCTTGGCAGTTTCCTTATAATTTATTTTTACCACATGATACCCATGAAAACAAGTAAATATTTTGTTCTCATATATTTTAGACCTCCAAAATGATCAAGTTTGTTCTCTAGACCTAGAGGAGGTGTTACACTCAAATATATTTTTTATGCTTTTATTTCTCAGAATATTTTCTGAGTCACTTTTGGAATAATTCCAGGCATTAATAAAATAGTAACTTTGGTTATAAGATCTATGAGAAACTCTAATGTAGACTACTCCAAATAATGAAAATCATTGATTTATGCATTTGCAATGTATTTTTATGCAAAATACCCATTTTAGAAATAACAAATATCAGGAATTACTTTAAAAATGCATACATACATACATCAAATATGTTAGAAATAACAAGAATGGCAACTCCAAAGCACTGAATCTCCTTATGAGAAATGGTTAGTCATAGAGATTTGTCTCTTGCTTATCTTTTCAGTATTAGATATATTTTGACATGCTGAAATTCCTTCCAAATTAGCAATCTCTATTTAGGATATGTAGGAATTTTCACTTCATTAGAATGTAAATTAACTACCATTCTATAACCATTCTGAATAATTATGAGTTTAGTACAAATTTAAAACAAGAATATCAAAATGTTTGATTAAAATTATACAAAATTATTATCTTGTATCACAAACCCAGATATCCTATTTTTATATCATCCAAAAATTGTAGCTTCTGAAGCTTATAAAAGGACCATGCACAGAAAGCACAGAACAGTATAAATATAATCTAAATAAATAGATATTTATCCTCATGAAGAAGAGGGCTCAATGTTGTCGAGATGTCATTTTTGCCAGCCTGTCTCTAGATTCGGTGAATCCCAATCAAATTTTCAGCATGTTCTTTTTTTGCTTTCTACAGATTTTGTGGAGGCAAAAGACCCAGAATAGCCAATATTGAAGCAGAACAAAGTTTGTGGACTATCGCTCCTTGACTTCAAAATTTACTGTAGAGCTACAGTAGTCAGGCTAGTGTGGTATTAGCAAAAAGTAGACAAACAGATCAGTGGAACAGAGTAGAAATTCCAGAAATGGACTCTTGTAAAATAGTGAACTAATTTTTGACAGAGGAACAGTGACAATACAATGGAGCAAAGATAGTTTGTTCAATAAATGGTATTGGAACAACTGGACATGCACATACAAAAAAAAAAGATCTAGATGCAGACTTTTTATCCTTCACAAAATTAAATCACAGTGGACATAAATCTGAACATAAAATGCAAAACTATGAAACTCTTGGAAAATAATGCAAAGAAACCCTAGATGGCCTTTGGTATGACGGTGCCTTTTTACACACAACACATAAGTCATGATCCTTGATACAAATAATTGGTGCTGGACATCATTGCAATTAAAAACTTTGTTTAAAAAAACAATGTGAAGAGAATGAGAAGACAAGTTACATACCATGAGCAAATATTCACAAAAGACATTGTCTGATAACTGAGGATTACCCAAAATATACAAAGAATAACATCAACAATAAAAACAAAGCAATATGTTTAAAAAATGGGCCAACTCCCAAAATCTTAAGACAATTTACCAAAGAAGAAACAGAGATGGAAAATAAGCATAAGAAAATATGCTGCACTTCATATGTCATCAGGGAAATGTGAATTGAAACAATACTGTGA